CTCCCCTGCCAAAGCAGGGGTCTCAAAGGATGCCATCGTCACCGGTCCTGCCCCTGGGACGTTCCACCATGGCCTCAGCCCCAGTAAGTGCTTCTCTCCTTCCTTTCCTCAGGCTGGAGGTACAAAAGGTTCCCCAGCACCTCTGCTGTGACCCACAAGTTCTGTTGTCGTGTCCCGGGTTCCAGTGTTTGTCTGGTGTGTGACCCTGGGCCGCTTCCCTGGGGACAATGCTGAGCCCCCACCCCTTGGGGTTTTCACCCAGAACTGGTCCAGGAGGTTGTCTGGGGCTCTTGACCGCCAGAGGTGCTTTTCCGTTCCTGTCTTCAATGTGTGTGTTTTGTTCTTTTCTCCTTTCCTTTGTTTTCTCTCAGGTCTCCTGGCTGGCTTGCACTCCAGCCCGCCCCACGCAGCGCCTCTCCCACACGCTGCCGTGTCCACCCACATCCCGCAGAGTCTGCCAGGTAATTGCCAGGCGGTCAGAGTGCCACACGCACTGTCCGCCAGTCCCCTCTCCACCCGCTGGATGCCTTGTCTGCTGCCAAGGGTTTCAGTGTCTTCCCCTCCTCGTCACTGTGTTGTCTTGGTTTGTCCTTTGAGGCTCTGGCTCTGTGGCTACTCAGAGAGAGAGGCACAGGTTTCTCCTGCTTTGAGATTTCCCCTGGGCTCCCATTTGGAACTGCCACTCAGTGGCCTCGCCCCGTGTGATCACAGAGGAAGTTGTGGTGGCCTGTGTGCGAGGCAGAGTGGGGCCCCACCCTTAGCTCAGCTTTTCCTCTTGAATTAAGAAAATAGATAAGGGTAATGGTGCTGGTTTTCCTGCAGGCCTGTAAATTCAAGCTGCTGCACCTGCAGGTGGCACCGGCTACCAGACGGCTCTGTAAACTTAGTTGAAGCGAAAGGGAAAGTCCAAGTAGTAGCGGGAGGTCCAGGGGCAAGGCTTCAGGAGGGACCCTTGGCTCTGGTGTTCGCATGTGTCTAGGAGATGAGCCGCCTTCAGCTCAGACGTAAGAGCAGGCATTTGGGGGCACAGCGGGAGCTGGGCCAGCGCTCCCTTCTTCTCTTGCTTTTCCTCTGCGTAGAGCAGTGGCTTTCACAAGGGACCCCGACAAGCCCTGGGTTTATACTTTGAGAAGAGGGCATAGATGCCCTGGCCAGCACCCTTGTAGTGAGCGGTTTGCCTCGCCCCGTCCCACGACCTCGAGTTTCCCGTGCACCTAATGGAATGTTGTGAAGCCTCAGGGGATCTTGGTTTTGGCCACCTGCTCTTCCGACTACTCTAGGCCTGCTCCACAAACGACGGGGCAACCTTGGTTGGGGAGAGCCATTCTTCAGGAAGCTGCGTGCGGTACCCCTGGTGGACTGGTGCTGGGTGGGGCTGAGACCGGGAGCCGCCTGGCTGGGCGTGCCCTGACCTGCTGCCCTGAGAGCATTGGTTCCAGCACCTCCTGAGTCCCTGTCTGCTCCAGATCGAGTCCCTGTCTGCTCCAGATCGGCTCTGGGTCCCAGCCCCGTGTCCTGAGGCTGACGCATTCATAGCGAATGCCAGAGGCCGTCTGGGTGCCAGAATGGATTGTGAATCTCCAAGATGGAAATGTTGCTTCTTCAGAGAGAGAAGGGGCTAAGCCTGTGTCAGCAGTTACTCCATTCTCCTCAGGAGAAGCAGTAAAATGCAGAGGACTCACTCCGCCAGCTGGCGGCTGTCACTGTAGCTGTGAACATAATGTAGGGGTCACAGAGCCGCCTAGGTGAGAGCTTGTGGTTTCTAAAGAGAGACTGCATGGCCTCTGCTTGCTTTCAGGAACATCGCTCTTGCAGGGAAACAAAACACAGCCGTGCGCCGCCTATGACATTTTGGTCAACGACGGACCACATGTATGATGTTGGTCCCATAAGATCTGTACCGTAGAGCCTAGCTGTGTAGCACTTGTGCACATCTGGGTCTGTGCAAGTACTCTGTGATGTTCACACAACGACAGAACCGCCTAATGATGTGTCGCTCAGAATGTATCCGTGTCGTAAGCGACACGTGACTGTAATCAAAGAGTCACTGGAAACATGAGTTGGTCTGTGGTGTTTTCAGCAGAAAAGGGAAAAGTGCTTTCTCGTACTGTTTCTTTGCTGTTTCTCCTCTGGGTATCCGAAGCTATCAGAAAAGCTTCTGGGCTAGGACAGGCTGTGTGAATAGGCTTTCCTCCCTCTGGATGTTCTTCAGCTTGCAGGGTTACAGGGAGTGGTTCTAAGAGAAGAGCTGCCTGCTCGCTTCAGCCGTGTGACTTGCATCTGCTTTGCGTCCTTCCTCCATGGACTCAGAATGCGGGTGCCCTGGGACCTGAGGTCTCCTGATGGGGAGAGGTTGCTCACTGTGGCTTGAATTCTGAGGGATCCTCAGGCCTCCCCATGACATCCCAGCCTGCCCCAGGATGGCAGCTGTAGCTGAGTTGAAGTGGCCCCTGTCGCATAGTGCAGTTGCTGCTCTGTGAACACAGCAGCTCCCGCAACCTCTTCAAGGCTTTCTTGGCTTGTTTGAGCCTTAGGACACTCAGCGTTCCAGGTCTTTTGCTTTTTAAGAAGTGATCCCCTTGAGGTTTGGTTACTGCTGCCTCAGGAAATCAGAGACCCTGAAAGACTCGTGGTCTGTTTTTGCTTATTCTTTTCCAGATGCTTCTCAGCTTCATGGGAAGGGGTCCGGTGTACCACGGAAATTGTGACCTCTTCAGAGGAAAGGCCGGTGGCTGAAGGGGAGTAGGTCTCGGAAATTGGATAATCACTGCGCTCTTTCTGCTGATTGGTTTTCTTCTGGAGAAGGTGTGAGTGCTAAGTGGAGCATCTCTTGGCACTTGTGACGTGCCTTCAGTTAGGGGAGCAGCCCTGTGTTTCTCCAGAGGCACTGACTGGCCGGGTGCTCCGGGCCTTGCGGCTCTGTCACGGACAATCGTTGGAGGGGCAGCTCTAGGCTGGGGAGTGCGCTGGGTCGCGTTCGGAGCTCTGGTGGCAGGGCAGAGCGGTTGGCACACCTGTGTGTGAAGTCTGCCCGATCCCCTGGCGTTTGGTCAGAGTACCTCATGGCGCCCTACTGGTCAGGGGCTCCTTCTGGCCACAGTAGGATCTCTGGATGCTCATGGTGTCCGTCCCATCCTCAGGCTGTGTGCTCAACAGGATAAAAACCTGGGCTAACGCCACAGCTGGGAGACACCTTGTCTCTCTGAAAACTACTCAGAACACCTAATGTGTGCTCATCGTCGGGGCCAGTTTCTCCGCCGAACATGACAATGAAGCTCTTTTAGAGAAAAGACCTTTGTAGACTCAACAATTGTGATAGGATTTTTAAAGACACCTATTTTTGGCTCAGTTTTCATCATTACCATTAAATGCATTGGATAGAATGGGACTGCTCTTCGCACGTCATATTATAGGAAGACGTAATTCCAGTGCCTTTATGGTGGAGCAGAATTAGACACACGTCCATTCAGCTGAGTGGATCTCAGATGAAGACCTTTTTTAAACATATGTCTGTATTTAAGACATAGCCTGTTTTGAGTTTTCTGCGGTTGCGCATCATAATCTGTGCCATCCTGACTCAAAGGTCATCTGGACCCCCAAATCCCATTTCAGCCAGGCCCCCATTTTGTTTTTCCAGAGTTCATACAGGTGGACTACAGAGCCCCAAAGCCCTTCTTCATCTCTTTGAGGGCCGAGGATATGAGGGGTTCCAAGTCACAGATAGACATTCCAGATTGCTTTCTTTAGAAATTGTTCTCAGGCAGAGCTGTGGGGCCAGGCCTCTGTGAAGCAGGCTCTGCATGTAGAAACGGGCCTTGGAGGCCTGGGGCTCTCCAGGCAGAGGGGCTGTGCACTGACTTAAGCGCGAGGCGCCAGGGAGCTTGAGAGCACATCAGAGACAGACTAGGACAGTTACCCCTGGGCTCCCGTCACCACGCTCTTCCCACTCAACCAGTGGCTGCTTCACAAGGATTTTTAGGGCACCTGCCTGTCCTGTGAAGTCTGTGCCGCAAGGTGTGTCTGAACTGACTGCTCCAGCTAAGTGATTTCAAATATGTGGAGAATAAAGAGCCTCCTCAGAATGTACACCTGTGTGGAGACACAGGCGGCTCTTTGGTCCCTGACTCCCAGGGTGCAGTGCTCAGTAACTCAGAGTTTGTGCAGAGGTTTGCCGGGTTTCCAGGGGGGTGAGACCGCTGTCAGCTCCCCGGCCAGGCCTCTGCTCTGACTTCTTTTCTACATAAGAACCCACACGTGTTTCACATTGGGTTAAGTGGATTCCTTATCCCTTTATTATATCTATTTTTTGCAGCTTGGGTTTCCAGTTTGTTTACAGAATAGTCTTAGGTAGTAGCAAAAGAGCCAAAGAAGAGATTTGTATTGCTGAGCTCAGAGTCGCGCAGAGGCCGTCGGTGAGTGCTGAGCGGTGCGGGAACTCTGCAGGCGGCCGAGGACACCCGGTCCCCCCCGCAGGGCTCCCCCTCCCAGAGACCGTTGAGTGTGCAGCTGGAGCAGATACCCTCATTTTAGGAAGCTAGTGATGCCTCTTGCCTCAGGGAAATGTTTCTTTGATGGGGAGTTTACGAGATTTCTTTTTCTTGTTTATGCTTTATTTGTGGTAATGAGAGAGTGAATGACTTCCACAGCCACGGCCAGGCCCAGCTGCGGGCAGAGCAGGCTCCGGGCCGGGGGGCTGCGGCGCTGCAGGGCTTTCCCTGGCGCCGTTTCATAGGTGTGAAAGGGGCTGTGGCTTTTGTGCAGCGACTATGCTGGTGTTAGGGGGTGGTGTGGAAATTGTTAATCTTGTATAAAGCAACTCAATAAATTGTTTCAAGGTTTCCAAAACATCGTTTCTCATTCTTTTCTTTTTACCGTATTTGCAAATACTCCTTCCTCCTGTAGGAGCTGGTATATATGGAATATCCATTTTGGCTGAAAGCCAAGAGCAGTGGGGGAGTAAGCCTGACACACCAGAGGTGAAGAAACACACTTACACGAAGTTAGGATCAAGCCACCGGCGTTTATTTCTGCACTGTGAATAGAGTTCCTCATTACTCCCCTTCTCTTAGCTAATACATGAGATACAGAGAACCCAAAATTGGCTTGGTGAACAGTCAGCTATGTAGTATACCTAAACCCCAGTGAGAGAATAAGCAGGACATGTAAGGCATGAGACAGGCTAACAGCAACACAGCCCCCCGTGGAATCCAACGTTCTCTGCTGGTGCGTTGTCCTGGGACAATCTGGCTGACAATTAACCTTCACTCTAGCACCGAGGGACGGACACTGTTCTGGCTTCTTTGCACCTTTGCTGGCGTAGCGCCCGGATCTGTCTCACTAGGATGCCTCTGACGGAAGGTCGGCTCTCAGCCAGAAACCCAGGGGGGTGTGAAGGATGCAGGTCTGGTGTGCAAAGGCCAGTGCTCCATGGAGCGGGCTTGTCCACCTTGGTCGTCTTGTGCTTTAGTAGTTTTCGGATTGCTTCCAGGTGTCACACAAGGAGTCTATTGATGGGAGTGTGTAGGTAAAGGGAGAAAAAGGAAGGGCAGGGCCGTCCTGAATCATCGGAGGACCAAGTGGGTCACTCACCCAGGCTGAATGATGGTTCAGCCAGTGCCTGTCCCGCTTGTAGGTGAGCTGCGCTCTGAGCAACCTGACGGCCAGGGCTTGGGTGACATGCTCACTCTGCACAGACTAGGAGCCAGCGCAGGGCCAGGGAGAAGACGACAGCAGGAGGTCGTTGGGTAGGAGAGAGCCAGCCGTCTACTTCCAAGAAGATGGAGGGCAGGGCTGTGCCTACTTCTGCCCAGACACCAAGACGGCCAGCTCCTGGATGGACATATCCTTGTTGACGTAGCGGTCGTACTGAGCGGGGGTCAGCCTTCCATTCTGCAGGGCCTCTTCAATGGAAAACTTCTTGCCAGACTTCCTGTCGTGGATCACAGAGGACTCCCCATTGGGCCCCTTCACCGATATTTCCTCCCAGTCGCACTCCTGGCTCCTGAGCTTCACGAACATGTTCCAGTCGATGAGCCGGGCCCGGTGGGCTTCCTCTGGGGACAGCTCCCGGCCCGTGTCGGGGTCGATGACCACGATGGAGCGCCGCAGGTGGTTCTCCCTCTGCTCCCTCTTGACGGCCACGGAGCCCAGGCGCTTCTGCAGCTCGTCGATCTCCAGATCTTTGTCTCTGGAGAGCCTCTTGAGGTCGTCCAGTTCTCTCTCCAGGGACCACAGCCTGGAGTCGAGGTTCGTCCCAGAGTCCACCGCAGTCAGGTTCCTCAAGTCTCGTGTTTCTGTTGCCGCCATTTCAATTTCTGACTGGAGCCTTCGGGTCTCGAGCTGCAGGTTTTGCCGCTCCAGCTGGAGCTTGTGGTTTTCTTCCCTCAGGAAGTCCAGTTCCTTAGACGACTTGGAGTTAGAGAACTCCAGCTCCGACAGCTTGGCCTCCAGCCGGCTCACCTCCGCATCCAGTTCCCTCTTGCTCCGGCTCTCCTCCTCCAGGCTGCTCTTGAGCTTCTGAATCTCTTGCTCGGTGTCGCCTCTCTCCACCTGGACGCTTTCGGAGAAGACTACCTTCTCCTTGACCTCCATCCTCTCCAGGTTGGTGAGCTTCTTCCTCAGGGTCTCCAGCTCACTCTCCAGGACCTGCCGCCGGTGCCTTTCTTCTTCCAGCTGGAGTCGGAGCAGGGAGTGCTCCCGGGCCTGCTGGGGGTCCTGCTGCAGCACCACTTTCTGCTTGAGCGTCACCTTCTCCCGTGCCTCCCCCTCCTCCTCCTCCAGGTCGGCCAGCCGCTGCTTCAGCCGCTGCACCTCCAGCTCAGCCTCCCTGCGCGCCTGCCGCTCGCGCTCCAGCTCCTCCAGCTGGCGCTCCAGCTCGGCTCGCCGGCGCTGCAGCCGCCGCAGCTCCCCGCGGAGGTTGTCGATCTGCCGGAGCTCGACGTCGATGCTCTCGGTGAAGGCGTTCACCTCGGCCCGCAGGCCGGGCTCCTCCTCATACCTGACGACCTCCCGTGGGACCACCTTTTCCTTCACCTGGGAAAGCTCCTCCTCCTTCTGTTTGATTTTCTCCTCCTGGGAAGCCCGCTCCCTGTCCAGATCCACCTGCTTCTTCTGCTCCTCCGACAGTCTGGCCCTCAGAGACTCCACTTCCTCTCTGGTTTGGGGGTCTTCCCGGAACTGGAGGATCTCCTGGACCACCTCCTTTGTCTGCACCTGGGGTTTGCTGTCTTTCAGGGACTGAATCTCTTGCTTCAGCTGGTAGATCTCTAGATCGCACCTTTCGATGAGCCTGGTCTTGTCGACGATCTCCTCCCTGAGCCTCTGAAGCTCCTTCTCCATCTCGGGGTCAGTCTTGTACTTAATGACTTCCTTGGTCACTTCTTTGACTTCCACCTGTGGGCCCCGCCTCCTGAGTGCCTCCAGCTCGCTCTGGTAGCTCTTCAGCTGCTCCTCAGCCCCCCGGTACTTGCGCTCCTGCTCCACGAGCTCCAGGCGGAGGCTGGCCACTTCCCTCTCTGCCTTGGGGTCGGGCCGGACGATCTCCCGCACCTTCTCCTGCACCACCACTCTGGCGTTTTCCTCTTCCAAGGCCCAAATCTTCCGCAGCAGCTCCGTCTTCTCCTTCTGGTTGGCACGAGCCTTGGCGGCCTCGTCCTCGTACTGGCATTTGAGATTGCCGACCTCTCTCTCGGTTGCCACATCCTTTTCCACCTTGAGCACCTCCTTGACGGTGATCTTCCCCTCGGCCATGGCCCGCTCTTTCTCCAGCCTCTTCAGCTTGTCCTGGAGGAAGCTCAGCTCCTCCTCCTGCTTCTCCCTGAGCTTGCCCTCCCGCTCTTGGTCCTCCTGCAGCTGCCGGTACTCTGCCTCCAGCTGGGGGTCGTTCTGCAGTTTCACCACCTCCCTCTCCGTGACCTTCTCCTGAGCCCGGTTCTTCTCTTCGGCCAGGGCCGCGATGCGCTGCTGCAGGAGGACCGCCTCTGCTTCCCGGGTGCCTTTCTGCCGCCTCAGCTCCTCCAGCTCCTCCCTCAGCCTCAAGACCTCGTCAGCCTGGGCTCTGTCTGGCTCGATGCGCAGGACCTCCTTGACCACGTACTCCTGCCCTCCATCCCTGGCCTCCTGCTCCAGGGCGCGCAGCCGCAGCCGCAGCGCATCCAGCTCCTCCTGCAGCAGCTGGTTCTTGTGCCGCTCCTCCGCCAGCGTCCGCTGCATCTGCTGGAAGCTCTCCTCCAGCGCGGGGTCTGGCACCTTCTTCAGCACCTCCTTCCTCACCACCGCTTCCTGGGGGCTCCGATTCTGCAGAATCCGGATTTCCTCCTGGGCACTCTTGACCTCGTTCTCCAGCTGCTGCCTCCGCTCGGTCTCCTCGTCCAGCTCCTTCTGAATCTTCCACATCTCCTCTGCTCCAGAGCCCGGCTTGCTCCCTTGCAGGGTCTCATGGGTCACTGCTACCTCTGGCTGCTGGAAGGAGAAGACAGCGCATGGTTAAAGGCAGACTCTCCGTACGGGCCATTCTCACCTGGCCGGAGTGCACCTGGGTCACTGTGAACAGGTCAGACTGGTTGTCCTCTGATCCCCAAGGATCCCTCAGGGCTGGGTTCTCTGGAATTCTAGGGTTACTTCTGAAAACAGTAAACAACTAGTTTCAGTTTTTTCAGTGCATCTGGTAAAATATTTTAAAACCGCACAAGATGTGAAGTGAGTCTCCCTCTCTGGTCCTGTTCCTAGAGGGTATCTGTCCTTTGAGACCCGTGTGTCTTTAGTGTGCACCATGTGTTTATTTGTTCTGCACAAATGGTAGTGCCCTGCTGCGCGCTCTGCGTATCACACAACACAGAGAGTGAATTCTGCTGTGGCCGCCAGCGCTCTGCTTCTCTGTAACAGCTGCATCATCTCCTGTCCTATGGGCGGACCTTAATGTAGTTCACCACCCGCTGCCAAGCCATGGTGATTGCATCCAGTGTCTCGCTATCACAGTGCTGTCACAGACATTATGGACCTTAACAAGGGAGTGCCCTTTTCCTGGGCACTCAGCAACCGTCTGTGGGATGGAACGCGTAAGTTATACGCATGTGAACAGAAGCACTGGCTCGGGCCGGCATTTGCGCTGGTGCTGCCAGCTGTGTTAGCAAGGGGCACTCCCACTGGCTGTTTCTTTGAGGCAGAATGAGTCTTATTTCTCGCCTGTTGGGACAGTTTTGAGTCGAACGTCTCACTAAGATCCATTACCTGCCTCAGGAGATGCAGCGCAAACTCCAGGTTCTGCAGCCTCTGCCTGTTGATGGCATTGACCTCGGTGAACTTGGCAGCCAGCGCCGCTTCCTGCAGGAGGGCAGTCAGCAAACAGCAGTCAGCAGGCTAAGCGAGAGAGAGCTCGGACAGCACCTGGAAAGGCTGGCCTCTGGGGATACAGGGTAGCTGCTGCCCCTTCCTACCTGGACTTAGACTACAGTCTCATCTGGTGGAGAGAAGTGGATTTAGAGTCAGGAGTCTAAACCTGCAGGGACCTCGGCAGTTCCTGTCTCTGAGCCGTCGTGTCCTCATGCACAGAAGGAGCTCATAACATCAGCCCTCCTTCTGTACCTCCTGAGGGGCAAAGTAGGAACCTCCCACACGCGTGCTCCGGCCAGAAGACTCCCGTGGGCTTCTCTGGGCGCACCAGGGTCGCCGCCCCAGAACAAGTTCATTCTCCTCTTACAGACCGTCTGCACCCGGGAGGGCTCTCGCCCGCTTCCCCTACTGTGAGTGCATCTCTGAGGCTTGCGTGGCACACTCCCTAGAGGGTGGGGACTCTGAGAAGGCCCGGCCCAGAGCTCACCTCTTCCCGCACTTTGGTGGCAGGGGACTGGAGCCTGGCCTTCTTGCTCACATGGCTGCTCCTTCCATTTTCCAAGTCAAGGAGGGACCTCAGCTTCTCTGCTTCTAACTCATAGTCCTGGGAGACAGACACGGCAGAGGGCAGACAAGGGTGGCTGAGACTGAGACATTCTTCCATCCCTTCCGGCTGCCCGCAGAGCTCCTCCACAGCTGCCCTGCACTGCCCGCCAGGGGGTTCTGAGAAGCCACGACACGTCAGCAGTCCAGAGCCATGTCCAGAACCACCACCAACCAGAAAAAGAAGGCCCATGGTGCCCCTGCACCCCCAGAGAGGGCTGCCCCAGGCCCCGAGAGTGTGACATTGTGCTGTCTTCATTTCACACTGCACCATACGCCCTGTCTCCTGTCACCACCTCCCGACCCTCCTGTTGGGTTGATCAGTTTGATGACTTTATAATCCATCAGGTGGGAGGGTGACAATTTCCTCAGCTGTTCCCCTCCTATTGGACATTTAGGCTATTTCTGGTTTGTCTAGTTTGCTTCCATAAGTGACGCTGTCACAGAGATTTGTTTATCCTGCGTTAACTCTTTTGTATCTTTTCCTTGGGGCCAAGTCCACCCAGTTTACTGCTTCAAAGAGTAGAAAACCCTTTTCTGGTCTTCGATGCCTGGTACCATACAGTTTCCCCAGAGGGCTGTGCCAGCTTGCAGGGCTGCCAGCAGGGCCTGAGGAGGACACGGCCAGGCTCGCCTGGCGGAAGGAGGCCCTGCCGGTGGACGCTCCGGGCGGGAGCGCCACGTCTCACCTTGACAGCTTGCTGGTACTGCTGGGAGTGGCTACAGATTCTCTGCACTTCTTCTTCCCTTCTTGCTATTTCATCTAGCAGGTTCTGTAAAACAACAGAGACTTTAAAAGTCAAATTTTAAAAAAACCAAAACCTTGATAAAGTAGCTAGATTGCTTAGAATCTGAAATTATTCTGTCGTACAAAGTATAAGGAATGGCTTCCTTGTATACATTTGTTTGCTAGAAAAGGAAATTCTAAGGCCCTGTGAAGAAGGGCCAAGAAAATAATTATCTTCACCAGGAAACGAATGCGTATGGAGTGCTTCAGAATGTCAGCGCTGTTCTGACAGCTCACTTAGATGATCTCCTTTAATCCTCCACCAGTCCTGTGAGGTCATTAAGCACCATCCTTATCTCCAGTTTATGAGTGAGGAAACTGAGGCACAGAGAGGCTCAATGACTTGCCCATGGGGTCATGGCTAATTGGGGTGGATCTGAGTCTAGGCTGTTGGGTTCTCATGTTCCTCACCCCCCACCCCAAGGCCTTGCTGCCTTCTGAGGAGCCAGGACTGAACTTCGGAAATGGGATTTTTCCCCACGAGGGCTCCTCATGCTTCTGCAGCCACTCGCTGGTTCAGCCAGCCTGCGCTGTTCCCCTCTGGCCGGGGCATGCTGGGCACTGAGGAGGGAGGAGGGAGCGAGACATGGTTCCTGTTCTCAGAGAGTCAGGTGCTGGCGGCCAGGCAGGGCCAAGGTCCCGCGAGGACACAGCTCTGCCAGGGCAAGCAGCAGCCACTGCCTGGCTGTCCTAGAAAGGGGCTTGCTGACTTCTGACCCCGCCCCGCCCCCGTGACCATATGCCTGTAGACGTGGAAGCAGCCGTCTTACCTTCTGATTCTTGAGCTTGGTCTCCATCTGGCTGAGGCTGTCTGTCTCCTGGGGCTCGTAGCTGGGGATGTTGGACAAGAACTGGAGCAGGCGGTCGCAGCTGCTGCGGTAGTCATCGTAAGCAGCCCTGGCGCTCTGCAGGCTCTGAGCCCTGCGGGGCAAAGCCACGGTCAGGCAGGCCTCTGCCGCAGCGCGAGGATGCCTCACCGGAGGCTGCCTCCCAGCCCTTCCTAAAGAAACCATCTGCTCTTTTTTTTAAAAATAAGGGGGGAGGGGGAACCAAATGTAATTTAAACGTTCGCCAGAAAGGAAGCAGTTCGGTGCGTTATGGAATGTCAAGTTGGAGTACTCCGCGGCCCCTGTGAAGAACAGGTGTGTCCACGTGGACTGACTTGCAGAGACACCCACTGTGTATCATGGGGCCCGAACAACCCAGCGTCCAAGGAGAAACTGCCAGCGAGGTGAGGAAATCTTTTGAACTCACGGAAAATAAAAACATCAAAATTTGTGGGACACAGCAAAAGCAGCACTTAGAGGAAAATGACTCGTATTAAATGCTTATATTAGAAAAGAAGGAAGCTCTCGAATCAATCTAAGCTTCCACCTTAAGGGAAAAAAAGAAGAGCAAATTAAACCCCATGTAAGCAGCAGCAGGAAATAATAGAGAGCAGATGTCCATGAAACGGAACAAGGAAACAGGAGAAAGATTATTGAAACCAAAGATCGTTCTTTGAAATGGTCAATAAATTAATAAACTTCAGACAGAATGATCAGGGCAAAAAAAGAGAACATACAAATACGAAGAAGAAATGAGGGAGGACATCCCCTCAGATCCTGGAAGGATGAGTATTATGAATGATTTTATGCCAGTAAATTGAACAACTTGATGAGATGGACAAATTCCTAGAAAGACAAACTAATGAAGTTGATTCAAGAATGAGATGACCCATGGGGTCGGCCTGGTGGCATGGTGGGTAAGTTCGCATGCTCTGCTTTGGCAGCCCAGGGTTTGCAGGTTTGGATCCCAGGTGTGGACTTACACACCGCTTATCAACATGCTATGGCAGGTGTCCCACATATAAAGTAGAGGAAGATGGGCACGAATGTTAGCTCAGGGCCAATCTCCCTCACCAAAAAAAAAAGAGAGATGACCCACCTAGTCCAGTCTCTATTAAAGAGGATGAATTTGTGGTTTAAAATCAAACAAATTGCAGGCCCAGGTGGCTTCTACCAAGCATTTAAGAGAGAAATATCAATTCTACACAAACTCTTCCAGAAAACAGAAGAGGAAGGAACCCTTACTCATGAAGTGGTAAAATACATGACAGGGAAAACAGCAAGATGCCGTGTCTGTGGTGTGCTGTCGTCTGTCTGCCGTCTACCCTCCCGGCTTGTACAGCGTATTTGGGAAGGAGACATGAGAAACTGGAAGCAGTGCTCACCTTGGGGGCAGAGGCTGGTCCTTATGACCACGGAGTTTTTCACTTTGTATGTGGATTGCTTTTTTCAAAAAGAGGAAGTTAGTTAGAAGACAAACAGCCCTTGGTGGCATCAGCGGAGAGCCCACTTTGGCAGCCCCTCACCTGAGCTCCACCTGCTGGCGGAGGTTGTCGAAGCGCTGGCCCAGCTTGTGCTCCTCGGCCTCCTGGCGCTCCAGGTCGGGGCAGTGCTCCTGGAAGCGGCTGGCCAGCGAGCTGGAGCACTGCTTGGCCGCTCGCAGGTTCTGCTCCACCTCCCCCAGGAGGGCCTTCTGGGCCCGCAGCTCCGAGGCCATGGCCTGCCAGGGTGGAGCAGACGGTGGGCGCTATGGCCGGAGCTCCCTGAGCCGGGGCAGGACTGCCCCCAGTGCTTGGGGCCTCTCGCCTTGTGGGGTGGTAAGCCTGGGCCTGGGAAGGGCCAGGGGCTTTGCCTCTGCGTTTCTCTGCAGAGTTCCCTTACAGGGAACACAACCGCCAAGATGAACTTCTAGACCCCATGGCCGGCAGCACATGCCCTGTGACACTGTGCCCAGACATGGGCGCCCCGCTGCCCTGAGGCCCCCAGGCCTTGGCGAAGGCTTCATTCTCAGAGCCCATTTCCTCAGCTCTGAGGCGAGGCTTTCAACACGTGGCAGGGGTTTTATGAACTGGGGTGTGGTCGCGGCCTCCCACAGGCCCACAGACTTGAATGGGAGCAGCGGTGAGGTGGGCTGGCAAATACGGGAGGTGGGCCCAGCGGCAGCTGAGAGAAAGCAGACGCAGGGGCAGGGGCAGCTGCTGCTGTGCTCTAGCTGACCTCACCCGGGAACGTGCAGGCCCAGGGACCCTGGGAGTCTGGGGGTTATGTAGATATTTGGTTTGCCAACACTAGCACCTGATTTCCACAAGCCTCAAACCCTGTGAGCAGCTGGGATTCGTGCCAGGGGCCTCCACTGGCAAATTCCAGTTTGGCACCCTGCAGGCATTCCAAACCTGGAGAAACTCGCGGCTGTGGCCCTGGGAGTCTCGGGCCCTTTGTCTGTCCAGAGATGCTGGGGTGGGAGCACCAGGAGAGAAAGGCTCCCGAGGCCCAGGGTCCCCACACTCACCGCCAGCTCCTGCCTCTTGCTGTCCAGAGCGCGGCCAGCCTCAGGCACCGTGTCATCCTCCATCAGCTGGTTCTCGTACGTGGCCAGCACCTCCCAGCCCTGCTGCAGGCTCTTCTCCAGGCGGTTGGCAACGCTGACCCTGAGGACAGGGGTCAGGAGTGGGGATGCCCACCTGGCCCTTTAACCCGGCCTGACCTCCCCGCTGCCCAGCTGCCACTCACTTCTCCTGGGCCGAGTCCAGCAGCTGCACCAGGCGCTCATATCTGCGGTTGGTGTCCTCCACCCGGGTCCTCAGCAGAGGTGCGCTGCCACTGCCCGGCAGGGCCTGCAGGAACGCCTCGCACTCGGCCGTGCTGCGCGCCTTCTCGGGCTCGATCCGCAGCAGCTCGTTGGTGATGTTCTGCAGGGACCAGAGACCTTCGTGTTGGCCACAGCCGGGCAGCCCCCAGGGGAGTGCCCATGCTTCAGGGGACGGTGGAAGCTGCTGGGGAGGCCTGATTGGAATGCAGGGGCCTGGGCCCTCCGGGTTTGGGGCGCCAGCCCAGGAGTCTGCATTTGTTATGAGCATCCCAGGGAATTGTGATGCCTGGACCGTGACTCACAGGAGTGATGAAAACAAATGGTAATTAGCGAGCACTTACTGTTGCAAGCACTGCACGTGGGGGATTTCATTCGTCTATGGGGCAATTCTACGAGGTAGGTGCTTTGCTCTCCCCATTCACAGGTGGAGACCCCGTGACTCCAAGCAGCTCAGGAAGGGACGTGGTGGGGCCTGGCCATGCCCCACCCTGGGACCAGGCACCCTCCAGCTGTGAGCCCCTCCCAACCCCGACGTGAGCCGCATCAGGGCCACTGCGCTCCTCTGTAAAGCAGGGACGGTCACGCCCATGCGCAGGGTGCTGAGGACCTGCGAGACTGTGTGTGTGAGGGGGAGCCGTGGCTGGTATCACATGCATCGTCTCTGCCATGTTCCCACAGCCCTGCGAGAGGGGACCAGCCCATTCTACTAAAGAAACTGAGGCTTGGGTTTCAACAACAGGTCCGTGGTCAGGCAGGGAGTGAGCCGACTGTGTGACTGAGTGCCACCATGCACTGGAGCCTCACTCCGCTCGGGCTACTCAGGCCACAGGCACTGCTGGTGTCAGTACAGTCATGCGCCACAAAACAACCTTTCAGTCAACAGTGGACTGCACAGACGATGGCGGTCCCCTAAGGGGAGTCCTGTGGAGCCAAGGCGTGCGGTAGGCTGTTCCATCTGGGTGTGTGTAAGTCCACCCCATGATGTTCGCACGTTTCTTAGACCACATCCCTGTCATTGAGTGACGCGTGACTGTCCTGCCATGAGCCCGTGGGCGACAAGCCGTGCAGATACAGCGTGAGCCCTGCCAGCCCTTCCTCTGGGGACGTGTCGGGGGGCAGGGGCCAGGGCTCAGCACCTCCTCTGTCCTCAGCCTAGAACAGCCCCCCCTGCTCCCTGACTCAGGGCTTCTGGGCTACACGTGGCAGGTGGTCCCTGTCGAGCACCAGGACCCCCCTGGGGATGCGACCTGAAGCAGGAGCCCTAGAGAGCCAGGGGCCAGCCTGCGCCCTCAGCCTGGGGGTACCTTGAGGTCCTTGGCCCTCTCGGCGCTGTCCTGCACGGCCCGGCCCTGCTCCAGTGGCGGCCGCAGGATCCCCGTGATGGCCTTCTCTTGCCGGTCCAGGTCGCTGGCCACCTTGTCCAAGCCAGCCAGCAGCTGCCGCCCCTGGAGGTCAGAGGCATCTGCCAGAGAGAAATCACAGAATCAGGTGACGGTAGGGGTGGGGAGGCCCAGGGAGGGGGCCTGGGAGGCCTGCTGGGACCTCCAGCGCCAGCCCACCCCTCCCATGCCCAACCCTACCACCCACTCCGAGGCATAGACCTGGGTCAAACCCCTCTTCCTGGTCTCCCCAGGGCCCCGGGCAGGAGCCCCAGCACCCACCTCCAGGGTTCTCTGCCTTCAGCACCTCATGCCGCTGCTGGAGTGCACTCCGACTGCCCGCTGCTTTCTGCCGCACACTCTGGTACTGGCTGCCCAGGCTGTGGGAGCAGGGACAGGCTGGGGACCCCGGCTGCCCACGGCCCCACCACCCACAGGCACAGACAGCCCAGAGGAGTCAGGGCTCGTCAAAGCGCTTTGAAAACTTAAAACACGGCACACACAGGAAGGATTTGCACTAACACTGGTCTGCCTTTGCTCCCGGGTTCAGACGGACTCCCGCCCCTCCCTCCCTCCTTCCTCTCTCTGCATAGTAAGTCTTGTGCCTAAAACTCTCCTGTCCGTTCCTTTATCTGCCCCACCAAGAGGCTGCCCCTGAGGAAGCAGCGCAGCAGGTGCTCACTGTTCGCTGACTGAATAAATGAAGGCGCTCCTTAAGTCACTCATTCACTCAACAGAGATTTCTGGGGTACTTACTGTGCACAGGTACTGAGCAAGGCCCTGGAGATAGTAAGTCTCCCCAGGGAGCTCCTGCCCAATGAGACTGACGCCTACACAGGGCATCCTGATAAAGAGTGGTATGTGCAGGGGGAGAAGCTGCGTGAGAGCCAAGAGGGGGCAGCACTTCTGGAGCCAGGGTGGAGGGCCAGGGGGCAATCAGGGAAGATTTCACAGAAGTGACCCCGGGGCTGGGTCTTCAAGCCAGGAGGCCTGAGCCAAGCAGGCAGCAAGTAGGTGTCCAGGTAGAAGCAGCAGCAGCACGTACAAAGGCCCAGAGGCGCTTGCAGAGAAACTGCTCTCTGAGCTGTGCCCACAGTTGGACGTTCACACAGCAAATGAGCCCAGCCAACAGGATCCGCTCCTGTCCCACTTGAGCCTCCAAGGGGGTGCAGGTGTGGGAATGTCAGTGGCCTCCTGAGGCTGAGTCGGGATGCCCAGGGCTGTGAATGGGACCTGAGGGGCCCGAGGAAGGGGCTGTCAATCCAGGCTGGCTTCCTCCCTTGCCCCTGTACCTGTCGGCCAGAGCCAGGGCCTCGGGGTCGGTGGGGGGGATCATGAAACAGACGGCCGGGGCGGTCAGCTTGTTCCCCGCGCTGTCTGTGAGGTCCCAGCTCTCCCCGTTGTTCCTCTGCAGGGTGTAGCTGTAGCCCCGTGAGATCACGCCCTGGCGGGGGCAGGCCAAACGGTCAGAAGACACGGACAGACCTGCCTTGGCCAGCGGCCTGGGAACCCCCGTCCCCCAACTCCTGGACCTGGGGTGCGTCAGCCCATCTCCCAGACCCTCCCCGAGACCTTTCGCCATAGAGCACTGGGAGGGGCCGGGGGATGTGTGTTGGGTCTGCGGGTCCAGCACCCGCCTGGATCTCTCTTTGGGGAACCCACCCCCCATTCTCAGTCCACGTGGTCTCGTCCCTCCTCTGCTCCCAGTCCCTGACTGCCACGGGTGGACAGTGAGTCAGGCCCGGTCCCTGGAAGAAGGGCATCACCCCCCCCCAGGCCACCATGATTGGTTTAGGCTGGACACGTGATTCAAAGTGGGCCAATGGGGACCCTCCCCGGGACTTCCGAGGGAATGACTGGGCTTGCTAAGCGGGACCAGGAGGCCAGGGCGGCTGGGGGTGGCGGCTGGCAGAGAGCGACCCCAGCGACGGGGACGAGCACAGGCTCCTGAAGATGTGTGAGGCCCCACATCCAGCCACGTCACCCTGAAGACCTCCCGGTGACATGCAAAGGGACAGATCTGGGCCCGGCCTGCCTGGGGCTCCGGGGGCACATGGGCAGAGCTCACCTGGTCGCCCTCAAAGTCACAGAGCGCCTCCACGGGGATGGGCTTGAGCGGCGTCTCCCGGCGGTACTTGAGGGGCACCACCTGCTGCCCTCGCTTCTGCAGGCCGCGCACCACGTGCTCATACTTGTCCAGAGCCTTCTCCTGGTCCTGAAGGCAGGGGGGGAGTGCCTGGGTGAGACCACGCTGCCTCCCTGGAGGCCGGGGCAGTGGGCGGGTAGGAGCCGGGAGGGAGGGCCGTCACTCACATCCAGCTCCCGCAGCAGCAGCTCGATCTGGTACCGGTCCTTGAAGTCGGGGCTGTATTTCTGGTTCAGGTCTGAGTCCACCTTGCGCAGCAGCTCCTGAGCATCCTTCACGTCTTTGTGGAACTAGGGGAGACCAGGGGCCCAACTGTGGACAGGAAACCGCCAGGACGCAGGGGCTCATCCTGGCTGTGGCTGCAGGAGCACCCCCGGGCGGGGCTGGGCCTCCTACTCACCCTGAACCCAAAGGCTCTGCTGCTCGGGGACACCCCCAACCCTCCCCAGCCCAACTTCTGGGGGCCCCACGGGGAAGAAGCGGGTCCCTTCCCACCAATCCACACGACGCCACCTCAACGACATGAACCTTTCACGTCCACCAGTAAGCTCTGGGCTCCCTCCCGTTCCACTCCTCTGTGCCAGGGACACCCTGACTTAATGCTGTTTCCTTCCAAGTCTTGATACACAGAAGACAAGCCTCCCCACTCTGTTCTAGAAAATTCTCTCGCCCATTTGTCAGTCTATCAACTCTGGAATCGTTCACTGTCAGCTGTCCTCTGACAGACATTCCCACAGAAACAACCAGCCGCCATCAACGGATGAGCGGATAAACAAAAGGTGGCCAATCCATGCAATGGGATACTATTTGGCCATAAAAAGGAAGGAAGTTCTGATTCATGCTACAGCCCAGGTGAGCCTACGAAACACGTTCAGTAAAAGAAGCCAGACACAAACGGCCACACACCAGGTGACTGCACGTATGCGAAATCTCTAGAACAGGCAAGTCCGTCGGGACAGAAGGTGGATCAGAAGTTCGCAGGGGCGAGGGAGGGAGGGCTGGGGAGTGGCTGTGTAACACGTACAGAGTTTCCGTGCGGGGTGAGGAAGGAGTTTTGGAAAGACAGTGGTGCTGGTTGCACACCACCGTGAATGCAATGAATGAATGCCCTGGGTTAGACACTTAAAAATGGCCAAAAGGGCAAATTTCAGTTCAGATCTATTTATCACAATGAAAACGCCATACGCTCATTTCTGGGGCGCACGCTGACCCGTCGAATCAGACTCTCCAGCCCCAGCCCCCGGGGAAGACAGACAAAGGCCCAGCAAGCTCGGGGCTCGCCCGTGTATGTGGTTGGGAGTGTGGGCGCTGCGAGGCTCGGGGGAAGCGGTGCCAAGGCCACAAGTGAGCCAAGGTGGCACAGAGCACCCCCACCACTGGGGCCTGGCGCCCGCGGATACCTGGTGGTAGTCTTCCATGTACTTCAGGTGGCTCTCCTCGCAGATGAGCAGGTTCAGGTACTCCTTCCAGTCTGCATGCACGGCCTCCATGTGAGCCTGCCAGGAGAATGGGGCAGATGGCTGCTAGGCAGGTGCCTGGGACACCAGGGAAGGGATGCTGGGATTCTGGACCAGAGAATGGTGGGGTAGGAGGCCTCTGGCGTCTCTCTGGGTTTGGCTCCTGCAGAGGCAGCCAGCTCCTGCCCAGGGGTGGGAGGAGGAGAGCGGGGACGTGCTGAGGAGCCAAGCATGGCTGTCGTGTACTGGTGCTTAGGTTGCGCACTGCAAAAGGGGAAAGTGGGGGCTGCGTTTGCCCAGACAAAGCAGTGCTTTTTTAATATTTTCACAAAGGCACGGTAGGGGTTTGAATGGGGTCCCCCCCATACCCATAATTCATTTCCACCTAGAACTTAGAATGTGACCTTATTTGGAAATAGGTTCTTTGCAGATGTTACTAGTTAAGGATCTCAAGATGAAATTATGCTGGATTTGGGGTGGGCCCTAAATCCAGTGACTGGCATCCTCAAGACGAGAGGAGATGACACACAGACACACAGGGGAGGAGGCCCCATGAAGATGGAGGCAGAGATAGGAGTGATGCTGCCCCGAGCCCAGGACCACCACAGCCTGCTGGCAGCAGCACATGCCAGGAGAGCGAAGGACCGACCCTCCCTGAGAGCTGTCAGTGGGAATGGGCCTGCCGACACCTGGATTTCTGACTTCTGGCCTCCGGAAGTGTGACAGCATAGATTTTTGCTGCTTAAAGCCCTTTTTCACAGCCCTCTAAGGAAATGAGGCATCGTATGGACTTCGGAGGTGAGGGGCCGAGGGCAGGATGCAGCAAAGGATGGAGTGAAAGAGAGGAGGCGGGGTCAGAGGGAGCCAGACAAGACAGCGAAATGGAGACAGACACACAGATGGACACAGGACACAGGGCTGCCCGAGTCTAGCAGGCCCACCACAGAGGCGGCCCTGAGGCCACCCTGGAGGAGGCGTCCCCTCCCGGGGCACACGCACCTCGATGGAGTTCCTCCCGGGGTGCTCGGCGGCCAGCAGCTGGTCCCCCTCGCTGTGCAGCTTGTTGATTCTCTCCTCTTTGGCCTCCAGGTTCCGGTTGATGAAATTCTGCAGGGGGTGGCGGGGGGCACTCAGCCTGGCAGCCCGGCGCTCCCTCCGTTCCGGCCCGCCCAGCCCGGCCCGGCCCCCACCTCATACTGGCGCCGGCGGCTGGGGTAGTCGAGGTTGCGGTCACTCCAGTCGTACTGCAGGCGGCCGCGGGCCTGCTGGTCCAGCCAGTACAGCTCGTTGGTGCAGCGCTGCATGTAGTCCCTCAGCGAGCTCAGGTGCTGCTGACGCGCCTGCGACGCCGCCTGCGGGCGGCCGAGGACAAGGCTGGGGCCACGGGGACCGCCGCAGACCGCCCCCTCCATGCCTCCTGCCCGCCCGGGACAAGCCCGGCTTGGCCACTTCCCGGCGGGAACCACCTGACCCTCTGACACTCATTCATTCACTCAGCAAACGTTCATCGAGCATCTGAAGTGCCGGGCATGGCTCCAGGCACTGGGGGGACGACGACGTGCAAGACACAAAACTCTCGCGGAACCGACACTTCTGTGGAGCCTCGGTTTACTCATCGGCGAAATGGGGATGGCGACACCACTGATCTCAGAGGGCACAAAGACTGGCATGCAGTTGGTGCTCAATCAGTGCAGCAGCTACAGCTCCCACTGTTACTTTTATCACAAAGGACACACCGTAGCAAAGTGAGAAGAGGTGGGGCTGGGGCAGGGGGCCCGGGAGGGACGAGGGAGGGCTCTGTTTTGCTCTGCAAATAACAGCCGCTCACACAGACACGGGCCCAGCGAGCGCCAGGACGGCGTCCCCCAACATTAACGGGCGCCATCCTCAAAGCAGTCCTATGAGGCAGGGACTCAAAGGAACTCCAGTTTACAGAGGAGGAAACTGAGGCTCACGGAGGAGAAGCTGGTGGCTCAAGGGCCCCCCACCAACAAGGGGAGGAGGCCGTCTGGCTCCCAAGCCCACTCAGGGTGACCCCGTGCCCCCATCAGAGGTGATGGAAGCGTCCGCAATGAGCACAGACGCATCGCTTGTGCGGTTTTAAAAAGAACGCATTCTGTCAAGGTTTTACAAAGGGTAACAGAAAACTGCTGCCAATAGCACGTGGCACCCAGTAGGCGCTTAATAAAGAAAGAAGCACATCGTAGGATGGGCTATGGGGGTTTTCCATGAGCACAGGGCAGACTGGGTGCCGCTCAGCTGGGGGCTGGGGGTACCGTCTCTCCCCTTCGCCCCTTCCGTCTGTGGGAGACGTTCCCCGCACACGCGTCCTGTCCCCGGTCCCCACCCCTGCACCCGGCCCCCGGGGCGCCTCACCAGCAGCTTCTGGTACTTGGCCTGGAGCTCGCTGCTCTGCTCCTGAGGACAGAGCCGAGGGTGTGGGTTAGGGGGTGCAGGTGTGAGCCCCGCCTTCCCCGGGGCCCTGCCAGCAGCCGGCGCCCACCTTGCCCCCGTCCTTGGCCAGGTGGGGCCCGATGGCCTTGACCTCGTTGTGGAAGATGTTGTGCTGCTCCACTTGCTGGTCCACCAGCGGCAGGTCCGTGCCGAAGGTCTGGCTGCTCAGCTTGTCCTGGGCGGGGCGGGCGGAGAGAGCACGCTGGGGCGGGTGGGGGCCTCAGCTCTCCTCCTCGCCGCCGGCCGAGGAGCCAGCAGAGTGACCCCATGACAGACACGGGGACAGGCTGTCACCTCGACCACTGCATCGGCACATGTCATCTAACCTCACAGCCACCTCCAAGGCCCACGTGGTCACCACGTCCATTTCACAGATGGGGAAACAGAGGCTCGGCCAGGGCAGCGGTGGGGAGGGGTCACTTGCCCAGGGGCATATCACGCTTTTCCCAGGGGCTGGCATGGACACAGGAAGGGCAGCGGCCGGCCAGAAGTCTGGCCACTCCCCCCAGGCCTGACAGGACTCCAAAGAGCCAGGGTCGGAGGGCGACCTCGGGAGGGTCCCAATCTCTACCGCTTCTGCTGTGTGACCCTGGGCTAGGCACTGCACCTCTCTGAGCCTCGCTCTTCTTACCAACATGATCATTGGGGAAAAAACCGGGAACCGTTCCCCCTCCGTAGGGCTGTGCACCCATGAAGTGGAAGGCCCTCCCTGCGCACACACGGCGCCCCCCCAGCTGACGCCTGGGCCGTACCAGCTTTTCCTCCACCAGCGCTGCCCAGTTGACCTGCGGGTTCACCTCCTTCACTGCCAGGTCGTAGATCTGCTTGTGTTTCCCACGGAGGTTGGCCACGCGCTCCTTCAGCTGCCGGATGCTGAGCGGGAGAGCGGCCACCCTAGTTAGCAGGGCCAGCTGGCAGGGGTGCTGCCCACATGCCCCCCAAGGAGGGGCCTCCTCCCCCTGGAGCCTGGCTTCGGGCTTTCTGCTCAGCGGCTGGGAAGGGCAGGGGGTGGCCTTGGGGTGTGGACAATCACTCACACCCTCCTCCCATCCACCTTCCTCCATCAGCCTTTCCCCACTGCCCACTGTGTGCCCAAAGCCGTAGAAGGTTCCAGAAGAAACAAGCAGGTCCACTGTTCTCTGGGGCCCACCACCCAGCGAGGGCCCCAGGGGCAGTATGGGCTACAATAGGGACAAGTGCAGGGCGTTGTGGGGCCAAGAGACCCCTGCCCCTGCCAGGATGGGAGGGTCGGGACAAGGGAGCGTCTTGGGGGCCATTTATCCACATCTGAGCTGAGGCACCAGCTTGAGAAGCCGTCAGGCGTCCGGCAGCGGGCAAGCGTACTCACAAGCTGGCGGTCAGACAGCGCGGTCACACAGTGACCAGAACAGACGTCGGTGCTCTAAACCTCCGTTTCCCCAACTGCAAAACGGGCTGTCACGAGGACAGTGTAAGGCATGTGACAAGCCCTGACTCCAGCTCCTGAGCACTGAGCGCGCCGCAGCCCTCCTGCCCTGGCCCCGAGTGGCTCCCCGGGACCCGAAGCGGGGGACCTACTCCTCGGTGATCATGTCCCCCTGGGGATGCTTCATGTGCTTGGCGATGGCCGCGTCTGCCTCCAGCACGTACAGCAGCTTCTCAGAGTCTGACACCTTCTGCAGGGCCACATCGCGGTGCTCGGGCTGCCCGCCCTCCTGCAGCCGGGCCAGGTCCTGCGAGAGTCACGACGGGGGACAGAGGGAGGGGAGACTCAGTGGCCACTGTGGGGATGGGAAGGGGCGGGAGGAGAGGGGCCAGCGAGGGGCTCCCCCAGCCCCACCTCGCCTCTCCTCTGGTTCTCAGCCAGCAGAGCCCGAGTGTCTACTTGTGGGGGCTCTGGGACGCAGTTGTGAACAAAGAGACACGGCTCGCCCTAGCCTGGCAAGTCTCGGATAAACTTCACAGAGGCGAGTGCAAGTTCATACAAGTCCCTCTTTACCAAGGACACACACCAATGGTGGAAGGAAGGGCACCTGCTTTAGCTCCAGTGGGCACCCTCTGAGGTGATGACACAAGCTGAGAATGAAGGATGAAAGAGCAGAGTGTTTGAAACAGAGGGAACAGCCTGTGCAAAGGCCCTGAGGCAGGAAAGGGCAAGCTGTGATTGATGACTGAAGCTGCCAAGGCTGGAATGCAGGACAGGGGAGGCAGTGGGAGAGGGGGGCAGGGCAGGGCCAGAGCAGGAACGGCTCTATGGAGGGAGGGACATGGCCCCACCTATCCTTAAAGGTGATGCTGCCGGGGACTGTGCAGGGAGGGGATGAGCTGGGAGGGCAGTCAGCAGACATGAGAGCAGTGCCTGGGGAGAGCTGAGGGTGCCCACATATAAACTGGAGGAAGATGGGCACGGATGTTAGCTCAGGGCCAATCTTCCCCAGCCAAAAAAAAAAAAAGAGGATTGGCAGCGGATGCTAGCTCAGAGCTAATCTTCCCCCCCACCAAAAAAATTACTGAATTGTACACTTGAAGTAGGAGCATTTTATGATAAGTAAAATATGCCTCAATAAAGCTGTTAAGAAGAAAAAGGAAGGAAGAAATGGCCAAAGGAAAAAGAAGTAAGAGGAGGTGACGTGGTGCCCGGTACAGAGCAGACTGAAGTTCCTCTCAGAGGAGTAAGAGGGGTCCAGCCTGCCTTCCAAGGCACCCCCAGGAGGGCGGAGGGGCGAGTGGGACCAGCGCCCCCAGGGGCCCGAGTGAGGCCCACGTGTCAGGAAGCCAGAGGAGCTGGGCCAGCCCCCTGCCCTGGGGTGGGTCTGGCCAGTTAAAAAAATTACAACAAAATATTGTGGTTCTTGGCTGGGGTGGAATTTCATCCCCTCCGTCATCGCCACCGGCTCATCTGAAGCTCTTCTGGGCTCACAGTGTCAAAGGTGAATTTTGCAAAAAGGGGAAAGTGAATCAATGGTTACCTGGTTCACCAGGAGCCGAGTGCGGAGGGAAGCGCTCTGCAAACACACTAGAGAGAGAGAGAGTGCGCCAGCCGAGAGCCCCGGGGTCGCACGAGCTCAAAGCCGCAGAGCTGATGGAGGGGAGAGGGTCTGCATAGGGGCGCCTGCTCGGCAAGGTCACCGGGGGGTTTCCGGGAAGCCTTGTCTATCCTGACGTGAGCCGCGGCCACGCGGTCCCTACCGATGCCAAAATTCGGGGCGAGCCCTCAAGATGTGGACACTTTCCATTGACCTTACCTCAGTGACACCTCCTAAAAAGGTTTTTTTAAAGTAAAAAGAAATCATAGGGATGGGCAGCTAATAAATTACACACGCTGAGGGACGGAGGAGAGAGAGCAAACCCGGCCGAGGGGACAGCTAGTCTGGGTGGTGGGGACACCGATGTTCTCTGTGCAACTCCTTCCACTTTTCTGCGCATTTAAAAATTCGGATAGACAAAACAGGCCACATGTGGGATCCTGTTTATATGAAATACCTAGAATACATAAATCCGCAGAGACAGAAAGCAGACGAGTGGTCCAGGGGCTGAGGCCGGGCGACGGGAGGGACCGCTAATGGGTGTGGGGTTTCTCTGTGGGGTGATGGACAGGCCTCGGAGCCAGACAGAGGTGATGGCTGCAGGCCACTGCGAACGTCCTAGATGCCACCAAACAGCACACTGTAAATAGTTAATTTTACATTATGTGACTCACACTTCAACTGAAAAAAAAAAAACAGGAAAATTCAAGAGAACTTATGGATAATAAAATTAATAATGATGTCCTCTGAAAAAAGAAAGGGAGGAAGGAAGAGATAAGAAAGAAAAAGATTAGACCATTTGGTCTTCAAAGCACAGTGTCTTAGTTCAAGTTTGCTCATTTGAAGTTAAGAAACAGTTCAAAACTGGGCCAGCCCTGGTGGCCTAGTGGTTAAGTTCAGGGCACTCTGCTTCAGTGGCCTGGGTTTTGGTTCCAGGGCATGAACCTACTCTGCTCTGTTAGCAGCTATGCTTGGCTGGCAGCCACACACTAAAAAAATAAATAAAAAGAGGAAGATTGGCACAGATGTTAGCTCATGGCAAATCTTCCTCAGCAAAAAAAAAAAAAAAAAAATTATCTCCCAAATACATCTTTGTTACTATGAGTCATTAAGCAAATAAAACGAGAGTGCTAGACCTTCTTTCCTCTCTCTCTCTCTCTCTCTCTCTCACACACACACACACACACACAAGAAAAGGTCAGACACACCACAGTGTTAACAGCTGATAGATCTCTCTGGTGGTGGAATTCTACCTGATTTTAATTTGCTTTGCTAAACTTGTTTATCAGTCCTGAAATGTTTGTAACACATATTACTTTTATTAGGAGGAAAAAAGGACGCACCCCAAAAAGCTGTGTTCGTTTAGGAAAGAAACAATCACCACAGTGGCCAGCAGAGAGGAGCAAAAACATCACAGGCAGCTGGGAGGAGGGTGCAGGGAAGAGGGTGCAGGGAGGAGAGGCTGGGAGGAGGGTGCAGGGAGGAGGGTGCGGGCAGGCAACCATAGGAGGAGGTAGGGGAGGTGGGAGGTGGAGGGGCAGGAGCCCCCACCCAGGAACAGAGTCCCCACTCACCTTTCCTGCCCCCACGCTCACCCCCCGCTGGGCCATCCCCACCCACCTCGTCCCTGGGGTCTCTGGGCCGCCTGCGGACTGGCCCTCAGGTGGGTGGACAGCTGGGCCGTCAGAGGGAGGGGCAGCCACAGCTGGGCTTGGGGACAGCCCTGGGGCCGGCCAGCCTTTGAACTCCTTCATGACCTGTCCCCCTTCTGTCCCCCCTCCTCTGGACCCGCCTCCTAGCCCCCTGGGTCAGAATGCAGATGAAACACGGACCACCCAGTTAAATCTGAATTTCAGGCAAACGACGGGTGATTTTGCAGTAGGTATATCCCAAAGAGGACGTGGGACATACTTGTACAAAAAAACAAATTTGTGTTTTGAAATTCAAATTTAACTGGATCTCCTTTATTTTATTCTCCAAGTCTGGCAACCCCACCTCCGGGATGCTTCTGGGGCCAGCTCTGCGATGACCAGTCAGTGACTGCTGTGCCAGAGGTGACATGAGCAGTAAGAACGACACCGACAGTCACGTTGAGCCCCGTGCCACACCTGCGTCATCTCACTGACTCTTGACAGTGACAGCCCAGGAGATGGGGATGATCACTTTTGCCCCTTCAGAGGGAATCACGTGCACAGAGAGGTAAGGTGACTTGCCCAAGGTCACACAGTAAGTGGCAAAACTGGGATCGTAACCAGGGCCTGGCTGTCCTCCAGACAGGGCGCAGAAGCTGCAGGGAACTTGGTCCCTGGGCTGGGGGCTGGTATTAACAGCAGTCATGAGGTTCCTCCACCCGACGCTGTGGACACGGGGGGCTGGGTCACTCTGTGTGGGGGGCCGTCCTGTGCTCTGTGGGACGTCGAGCGGCACCCCCGCCCTCCACCCACTGGATGCCAGGCCACCGCACTCCCCCAGCTGTGGTGGCTAAAAGTGTCTCCGGACGCGGCCACACGTCCCCTGGGGGGCAGAGTCATGCCCAGGGGAGAACCGCCGGTCCAGACGAGGCCCCGGGCGGGGCTGGGGCACAGGGGGCGCCGGGGTGGGAGGCGGGGCCACTCACGCTCTGCATCTTGGCCTCCGTGTCCACGATGTTCTTTTCCACCTGGTCCGCATTCTTCTGCAGCTGCTCGATCAGCTCCGACAGCTCCTTGTTAGAGATGCTGCGGCAGAAGACGGGGGTGGGCGAGGGCCTGGGGGGAGTGGCCGCGTCCCCACCAGCCCCCCGGCCCCGGCTCTGAGCTGCCCAATGGGCCTCAGATGGAGCCTCGCTGTCCCCTTGGGGGACGATGTCACTGAAGCCACAGAAATGAGGCAGCACCTGGGGGCAGGTAACCAGCCCCGCCTCTGGTCACTTACTCTAATGCTGCCATTTTGCCATGTTGGCTGAGCGCTTTTCTTCTTTTTGTCCCCCAATTTTTTATTTTTTATTGAGATATAATTCACAGACCATAAAATTCACCCTTTTAAAGTGTATACTTCAGTGGGTTTTAGTATATTCACAAGTTATACAACCGTCATCACTATCTGATTCCAGAATGTTCTCATCTCCCCAAAGAGAAACCCCACGTCCGTCAGCCGTCACTCCCCACCCCCTGACCCCAGCCCCTCGCAATCGCTCATCCGCTTCCTGTCTCTATGGATTTGCCTATTCTAGACACTTCACAGAATTGGAAGCACACAATATGTGGCCTTTTGTGTCTGGCTTCTGTCACTTAACATAGTGTTTTTGAGGTTCATCCACATGGTTGTGCAGGTTGGTGCTTCATCCTTTTATGGCTGAGTAATATTCCATTGGGTGGACATGCCGCATTGTGTTCATTCGGTCATCTGTTGATGCAGACACCCGTTGATGTTTCCACCTTTTGGCCATTACGGATCATGCCGCTACGAACATTCGGGTACAAGTTTTTGTGCAAGTACCCTTACTGTCACATACCTGGTACTTTCCTTTCAATCTACTCACGCTTCATATTTAAATAAATTGACTTAAAAAGGGTACTTGCTCTCCCCACTGTAAACAGAAAACCAGAAGCCCTTGCCATAAATGGGAGTAACCACCAAAATCAATGCCATGGGAATAAAATAACAGCACGAGGGGCCGGCCCGGTGGCGCAGCGGTTAAGTGCACATGTTCTGCTTCAGTGGCCCGGGGTCTGCCGGTTCAGATCCCAGGTACGGACATGGCACCACTTGTCAAAAAGCCGTGCTGTGGCAGGCATCCCACATATAAAGTAGAGGAAGATGGGCACAGATGTTAGCTCAGGGCCAGTCTTCCTCAGCAAAAAGAGGAGGATGGGCAGCAGTTAGCTCAGGGCTGATCTTCCTCAAAAATAAAAATAAAAAATAAAATATAATAATAATAAAATAATAGCACGAGGTTCAGGCTGGACACGCGGCCGACTGCAACATCGAGATCAAGCCCTTGGAATAACTGTGCCTTTCCTGGCGGCTGTTAGGAACGGGAGCGGGTTATGCAGGCAAAGAGCCGGGCACATAGTAAGTCTCACAAAAGTTTGTGATTATGGTTGTTAAAGAGCTTCACTGACTGTCGTCCAGCTGCCTTTGTTGTTGTTTCTTTTAAACAAAGACCAGAGAGGGAAGGCCACTCAGTCAATATCATCCAGCCAGCCAGCGTTGGTTGGTAAGAGAAGATTAGTGCTTAGTCCCTCAGTCTCCATTGAAGACCCTTTTGTCCCAGTCACAGTGGGGCCGGAGCAGCTAAGCACCCAGAAGTTTCATTGCACCTGCACTCATTAAGCACCTACTGTGTGCCAGGCCCGGCGCTGCACACAGACACAGCCTCACCCTCTGAGAGTTCACCCCCTAGACCAGGAGGAAAGCAGCATTTACAGACACAGTCACGAGACCGAGGCAGGCAGGGGGGCTGGGGGCGCCCAGAGGAGCCTCCTGACCGGCCCGGTGGAGACAGGGATGGTCAGGGAAGGCTTCCCGGAGGAGGTGGTGGTGGCTGGGTCTGAAGGACGAGGAGGAGTTTGGGGTTCATGGGCAAAAGGCTCCCATAAGGAAAGAGGCGGGTGCTGGGTGTGTCCCCGGGGTGGGGCAGGGCAGGACTCTTGACCCTCAAGACGGAAGGGGCCGCCAGCTCTTCAGAGCGGAATTCCTGCAGTCGAGGAATGCATGCTGCAGCATGAAACGTCCAGATTCCAGGCACCCACCCAGACCCTCGGCACGCGGACCTCCCGAGCTGGGCCCAGGAAGCGGTCTGATCATTGCTCTTAATCTTACGGGTTCCCCAGGGTTCCCGGGACCCCCCGAGTCTGAGGTCCACACGGCAGGGACCGCTGGCTGGCGTGGGGCAGAAACGGGCATGGCAAACAGCGCCGTGAGTCTGTCCATCCATGTCCCAAGCCCCGCCTGAGCGCCTGCTCTGCGCCAGGCCCGCTCTGCGGGCGGTTCTTGGGGAACAAGACCTAGGCCACACCCTCTGCCAAGTCGACAGAGGAGGCAGCCTCTCCCAAAGTGGGACCCCCGGTCCTGTAGATCACTCCAGAATGAAGGCTCTGTCAGGCAAGGCGGTTAGGAAAGCCCAACCCCTCAATAAGCTCAGGAGCCAGTAAAGGCTCTGAGAAGTCCTGCAGTGGAGAAAGCTGGGTTTCAGTGGAGCGACCAGGAAGGCTCAGAAGGGGGCACTGTGGATGGAGGATCCAGGTAAGAGCTGGGCTGCTGGGTCATGGCCCCCTCCACAGCCCCCGCCCTTGGCTGGGCGGACCACAGCGGGAACGTGAGCACCTCCGGGCCCCTCAGCCCCACGCCAGCCACTGGGCCTCTGCCTGGCCTGCTGCACCCAGACGCGTGAGTCTCAACCCAAATCCTTAACCCCTGACGGCTCGGGCCTCAGTGTGTCAGGAGCCTGCGTGTGAGTCAGGCAGGGCCTCCGTCCCTCGGGGCTTGGGGCCAGCTCCCAAACCAGCCCCTTCACCCGGTGGGGCAGGAGCAGGCCCCTCTGGACGCCGCCCTGGCTGGCCCATTACTCCAGCAAAGCCCAGCACCGGAAGGGACGTGGCGCGGGGGACAGCCGGCCCCAGGGGCCTGGCGCTCCTGGTGGAGAACAAGGGGGCTCAGTGGGAGCTGCAGGCACACAGGAACAGCCTCTAAGTCCTGCTGGGCTTTTTATGGCTTGGACCATCTCAGGCAAGCACCTTATCCTTGAAGTGCCTCAGTTTCTCTATCTGTCGACTGGGGATGACCACAGAGGCATCGTGGCAATCTGACACTTATTGCACACGCCTCACCAGAAATCAGACGTGTTCACAGGCATCGCCTCAATGGCACCATCACCTGAAGTCCCCGGGGGAGGTTTGTGTGCCCCTTTACAGATAAGGACACCAAAGCTTAGAGATGTCAAGGCACTTGCCCCGGGTCACACAGCTTGTGAATAGGGAGCCATCTCGGGCAGTCTCGGTCCAGAGGCCACAGGATCAAACACTGAACTAACAGCTACTCATAGGGGTGCTGGGAGAATCATAGGAGCTGGCACCCAGCAACAAGCACCTTAATAGTAGGAGCTCATATTTCCTTCCCACGTGCCAGGCTCCCTACTCACTTCTTACTCTTCACTACAACCCTGTGAGGTAGGTGTTGGCCGATGGGGAATCATATTATCATTCCCACTTTACAGATGTGGAAAGTGAGGACCAGAGAGGTTCAGTAACTTTCCCAAAGTCACACAGTAATTAAACGTCAGAGCCAGAATTCCAACCCAGGCAGGTCCTGGAGTCCAGGCCGCTAACAACCCCAGGTGACAATCCTGCGGGACTCCCAGCACATCGTAGGCACTTAACAGATAAACTTAACGTGCCAAGCACCCAAAATCACAATGGGATACCCCTTCTCACCACTGGGATAGCAATAATCAAAGAGATAGTAACGAGTGTTGACAAGGATGTGGAGAAACCAGAACCCACACACAGTGGGGTGGGAACGTGAAGTGGGGCGGCTGCTCTGGGACACAGTCTGCAAGCTCCTCAAAAAGGTCAGCATAAAGTTGCCATATAACCCAGCAGTTCTGCTCCTTGATACCCACCCAAGAGATGGGAAAACATACGTCCAGGGGCCGGCCCCATGGCTGAGTGGTTAAGTTTGTGCACTCCGCTTCGGTGGCCCAGGGTTTCACCGGTTTGGATCCTGGGCTCGGACATGGTACCGCTCATCAAGCCATGATGAGGTGGCGTCCCACATGCCACAACTAGAAGGACCCACAACTAAAAATACACAAGTATGTACCAGGGGGCTTTGGGGAGAAGAAGAAGAAAAAAAACAAGAAGATTGGCAAGAGATGTTAGCGCAGGTGCCAATCTTTAAAAGAAAAGAAAGAGGTCCACACAAAAACCCGACCCGTACGTTCACAGCAGCACTATTTATAAAGCCAAAAAGGGGAAACAACCCAAGTGTCCTTCAACTGATGAATCGACAAAATGCGGCCCACCCACACAGGGGAATACCACTCGGTCCCGAGACCGGCTTCACTGTAGAGAAACCCTGAACTGTGACGCCCAGAGGAAGAAGCCAGACACCGAAGGCCCCAAACTGTAGGACTCCATTTCTACGAAATGTCCCGAACAGGCAAATCCACAGAAGCGGAGAGCAGGTGAGTGGTCCAGGGGCTGGCGGGGGAGGGATGGGGAGTGAGTGCTAACGGTGATGAAAATGTCCTAAAATCGATTACAGTGACGGTCCTATCATTCTGTGAATATACTACAAACCGTTGAGTGACACACTTTAAATGAGTGAACTTTGTTAGCTCCCAATAAAGCTGTGACCGAAAACACTGGCAAGTGCCACTGACGAGTGAGAGGGGTAGGTTCTTCTCCCCTGCCCCCTCGGGTCGGTCCCGCCTTTTATCCTGTCTTCCACCGAGGCCGGGCCAGATCCGGGTTCTGCCCAGTTGCCTGGAAGATGCTAGTTAACGCTCACAGAGGGTTGGCCCCACGCGCGGCCCGTGCTAAGCAGGTCACATAGAAATTGTTTTGTTTAGTCCTACCACCCTCTGTTCTCTCATCTTACAGATGGGGAAACTGAGGCACAGAGCCATTAGTCCCACTGCCAGAGAGCAAGGCAGAGCTAGGATTCCAGTCCAGCCTCTGGAGCACAGACCCAGCACTTCTGCCTTTCGGGTTTGGGGTCCCAAATGAGAGGCCCC